ATTTTTAATTGATTTAATGGTTAATTAATTTCATTATTAATCCATTTGTGCAAAGTGATGTGTTTCATAACCTCAGTGAAGTGGGTTTTAAAAAAAAAGCTTGGTCTGCTCAGCTTCAAGCAGCCAAGGACTTTTTGCTGATAAACAACTCACAGCTGGCCCGTCAGTGTGAGAAAGTTACCTTGTTTATTTTCTCACATCTCACCTTCCTCTTGAACTAATTTTCTGTTCTCACCAGCTAACAAGTGGTTAGTCAGTTGTTGTTCGTCTGTTGGCCTGGGAGGATGTCTGTCTCTGAGGAGTGAAGTCCATCTTTTGGACACCTGTGTGGATGGACTAACATGCCGAAAAAGCTGACTGGTTCCAGCCTGGAGCGAGCCCGCTGAGGCTCAAACTGGAGAGGGGAGAGGCATCTCCCTGAGAGCTGTCACGCTGACATTATCCACCTGGGCGGACCTGAATGCCGACTCTCTCAAGAACAAACCCTACCTGCAGTCTCTGTTTGAAGACTTCAAAAGGTAGAAAAGAGTTTTAATGAGATCTACGTCGCTGAGGTCTAGCCACGGAAATGTCTAAGAGATTGACACGCTGATGTGCTGGTCTGGTTGCACTTAAGAACAGTGCCAAATTACTAATCTTCTTTTCCTCCTTTTTCTTAAAACTTAAACTATTACCTTTATTCTCTTATTTACTTAAAACTTAGTTAAGCAGGTGCCAGTAGGTTGCAACACATGAAACTTACTGTTTATGTCAACTCTGAGTGTATTTTTTGTGCGTTATTATAACTTGTGTTTTATTCATATATTTTTATTAATATTTGTATGTTTATTCTGTTCATATATCTAAAAATAAACTACTTTATTTTGAGAAATCTGACAAGTTCTTTTCACATTTATGATCAGAGGAGTGTTTCATTAATTCTGATTTCCTTCTGCAAGATCTTGTGGAACATGACTGTTATGAGATTAAGCTGGTATTAATCTCATATAAGGCAGGGTTCTTTACAAAGGTGACCTTTAGGACTGAACGTTCAGCTTCACAGAGCACAGCATGATGTCGTGTTGATGCTTCAATGAGAACGCAGTCACGCTTAATGCACAGGTCCAGTTCTGACAAAGTTGGAACGTGGTGGAAAAAAATGTAAATAAAAACCAATGCAATGATTCAAAAACCTCATAAACCCATATTTTGTTCACCGTGGTGCAAAGAAAAAAATATCAAATACTCAAGACAATCAGTAAGAAAAGTGCCACAGTACAAAAAGAGCATTTTAGAGAAGTTAAATAACTGAGAAGTAAAGCTGGGCAGAGGTTCAACAGTCTGCAACAACTGCATCTAAAAACAGTGAATTTCAGAATAGTGTTTCAAAACTTTAATATGCCAACAAATAAAGATGTTAGGAATCTGGAGAAATCTCTGTGCCCTAAGGACAAGAAGACTGAAAGTAAATGATTTTTTTGATCCTTCTGCATTAAAACAGTTTTAGACGTCACTGCATGTGAGTCAGAAACTTTAAAGAGATCCACTATTAGTTGTAACATTAGACTTTATTTGATAAACATTTATTTTAACTGTAAAATAAAGACTGTAGGCTGTAAGTCTAATGTTACAAGTAATTCTGGATCCCTTTAAAGATGACATGTCTGATCATTTATCCTAACCTTGTCTTCTGTCTTCCTTCTTCTCAGGATATGTTTCCAGCTCCTTGGTGGTGGAGGAGGCGAGGTGGGAGAGTCGTCACCTTTTACAAGACGACAACGAGTCCAAGCTTTACTCAGAGCCTGAGAAGAACTGCACTGAACCAGGTTAGTGTGTCAATAGAACACTTACCTGAACATTTAATAACGTAAACACAGAACCCTTTAAGTGTTTTATAGTCCTAATAGTTTTGTACTTCAGTCTTATTCAAACATAATTTAATTTGAATAAGCTTATTTTAATGTAGTTACCTCCGCCAAGGGAAGAAAGTAATGTTTTTGGTCTGTCTGTCACTCTCTCTGTCTGTCTGTGGTCAAAATTACTCAAAAACTTGTGGACAGGCTTTCATGAAACTTTCACCATATGTGGATATTGGCCAAAGGAACACACCATTAAATTTTGGTGATGTTCTGGATCATGATGCGGAGCCAGAATTTTTTTTTTCAAGCGAATCAGCCAGGATACACAAAATGTCATTACGTCAGACACATGTCTGTAGGAAACAGGAAGTAGAAGTCGCAAACTCACTGGGACTACACATCCCAGGATGTCTACTATCGGGAAAGTTGTGATTATTCTGTTATCAACTAGCATTGGTGAAGTTACATGCTGGCTGGAGACATGGAGAAAAAAATGTGATTCTCTTCACGGGAATAACAGAAGACATCAAAAGCAGGGGGAAGGGTCCTGCTGCAGTCCAGCCAAAGCTGGTACCAGACAGCAGGAACAGCTGATTTACTATGTGAGGTACCCCCTCCACATAAGAACTTTATTGTGTGATTGGTCAGAAGTTTGTGGGAGTTTGTCTTGAAAGCGCTCAGAAGCTGCATTTTACTTCATCCACTCGCTTAACAAAAAATAGGTGACTGTCCTACCAGGAAGCAGCAGTTTAAAAATATATTAAAACCACTAAAAACTCATAAAAGGGGATAAAACAGACGTTTTACACGATGGAATCTGACTGATGAGAACTTTGGAGCAGTTTGTGGATGAATAACGTCAGGTGACGAGTCTGACTTATTTTTTCCACATCGGACTCCACTGGGAATAAATTCTGTGCATACTGCCTGCTTAAATGTTCCCTACATCAGAACTTATTCAGCAAATGTGTTTCCATCTCTCCTTCTGCGCATTAACTCTATTGTAGGATGGGGGAAATTGGCCTTGGTGGAGGTTTGCACTCTCCAAGTGCTCCTAGTTTTAAAAGATTTCTGTAGAAAGTTTGAAGGGTCCAATGCAGGTAATGAGCAAAATATCCCCATGACTTTATATTAACCTATTAGAAAATAGGCCTACATTTTGGTGTAATTCATGTAAAAGCTGCTGCCAGTCGGACTTGAGTTTAACTATAATAAACCATTCCACGAATGGTCGACTGACATTTGATTTTGAACTGCCTAAAATTTTAAGGTCTTCTACTTTTCATAATCTTACAACTGTTTTTGGTACGTTTGTAGTTTATACATCACGCAGTGTCTCTCTTGTTGCTATGGAACTTATGGCTTTTCACTAAAAAGTGGTGCTTGTGTAAAAAACGTAAAAGGTGTTCAAGTGTTAGCCTGGCCATTGCCTTCCTGCTTAATTCCGTTGATTCTAATTTGCCGTCACTTCTCATCTGGGCTTTCTCCCATTGACATGGATTCCTCCAGTAGAGTTTAAACTGGACCGTGAAGTTTTTCTTTCAGCTGCTCCCATTAGCAGGCGTCAAACTCACAAAAGATTTGATGAATATTTTACGTCGGATGCCCATCCCGTCTAGGTTTGAATGTGCAGCCTCAGAATTGAGACCGTTGCACTGATGGCAGGGCTGCCGCACCCCTCATTTGTTCAAAACACAGCTAACAAATGCATTGGCACACAATTTCCAGTCAGGTCCCACATTTTGGTGTATTTTCTTGTTTTATTTCAAAGCTGTGCCCGTAGTTAAACTGTGTGACACCTGAGTGATGATGCTTCAACATCTGGTGTAAACAGCATCACTCACTGCCTTGATTCATGTGTGGAATTAAACTGTGACTTTTAGAAGTGAGTCCTTTGAACTGTTAACACTTGTGTTCACAGTTCAGATGAGTGTTCACACACATCCACACACCCTTGTACTTGCATCAAACTGAGGACATTGTATTGACTTTCATTCGTTTTGTAACTGCATTTATGCCAAACCCAGACATTTTCCCTAAAACTAACCATTACTGGTCTAAACCTAACACTAACCTGAACCAAAACGTATTTCACACCATACCTCTGAGCCTAACAGAGAGAGCTGTAACCAACAAAGTGGCGTAATTTTTGGAAAGTGAGGACATTTTACGGGTTCTCACAAAACATACGGTCCTCACTCTGTATCAGAAACAAGTGCGCACACACACACACACACACACACACACACACACACACACACACACACACACACAC